TCACCCAGGCTGGAGTGCAGTGGCGCGATCATGGCTCACTGTAACCTTGAACTCCTAGGTTCAAGGCATTTCTCCCACCTTAGCCTCCTGAGTAGCTGGGACCACAGGGGCATGCCACCATACCCAGCTAATTTTTTAGTTTTTTGTAGAGATGGGGATCTCCCCATGTTCGCCACGCTGGTCTCGAACTCCTGGACTCAAGAGCTCCTCCTGCCTTGGCCTGCCGAAGTGCTGGGATTACAGGCGTGAGCCATGCACCCATCCTAGAATAGTTTTAAGAGAAAAGGTGGGAGATTCATTGTCATTCCACTGCCCAGGAGGAACCACAGTTAATATGAAAATTATTATCATTAATACTGGCAGGTGGTTGGAGGTGGGAAGTAGTACAGACAGGGACGCAATGACAAGTGTAAGCTTTCACCACCCTCCAGACTTTCTCTCCAGAACCCCAGGTTTATGTTTCAGAAAAATATACATACGTGCATATGCCAGTGTGAATGTGCATTTATTTAGAACGCTCGTTTTCTTACTTGGCTGCACACTAGAGCTTCCTGGGGAAGCTTTAAAACATTCTCCTGCTCAGGCAACACCCAGAGATGACATATATTTATTAATCTTAAAATATATATGTAGGCCGGGTGTGGTGGCTCACGCCGGTCATCCCAGCACTTTGGGAGGCCGGGGCAGGTGGATCTCCTGAGATCAGGAGTTCAAGATCAGCCTGGCCAACATGGTGAAACCCGGTCTCTACTAAAAAATTACAAAAGTTAGCTGGACATTGTGGCAGGCACCTGTGGTCTCAGCTACTTGGGAGGCTGAGGCAGGAGAATCGCTTGAACCCAGGAGGCGGAGGTGGCAGTGAGCTGAGATCGTGCCACTGCACTGCAGCCTGGGAGACAGAGCGAGCCTCCTTCTCAAAAACTAAAATAAAATAAAATGTATGTATATATAATTTGTAGAAAACATGAAGCATCACAAGAAACTTGAGAGTCAGGACTTGGGAAGGAGAGGTGCATGGGTGACAAAGGGATCTTTTCTGGTTTTTTTTTTGTTTTTTTTTTAAATTTACTGCTGTTTTTCACCATAAAACTGGGGGTATATTACTTTTAAATTTAAGCAACTATTAATAGTAACCTTTGATTATTTATTTTGTTTATTTATTTATTTATTTATTTTGAGACAGGACCTCGCTCTATTGCCCAGGCTTGAGTGCAGTGGCACTATCTCAGCTCACTGCAATCTCTGTGTGCTGGGTTCAAGCAATTTTCGTGCCTCATTCTCCCAGGTAGCTGAGATTACAGATGTGGGCCACCACACCAGGCTAATTTTTGTATTTTTAGTAGAGACGGGGTTTCACTGTGTTGGCCAGGCAAGTCTCGAACTCCCGACCTCAGACAATCCACCCAGCTCGGCCTCCCAAAGTGCTAGGATTACAGGCGTGAGCCACTGCACCCAGCCTATTTTTTATATTTTAATAAAAGGTAACTATTAGGGCCAGGCACAGTGGTTCATGCCTGTAATCTCAGCACTTTGGGAGGCCAAGGCAGGTGAATCACCTGAGGTCAGGAGTTTGACACCAGCCTGGCCAACACTGTGAAACCCTGTCTCTACTAAAAATGCAAAAACTAGCTGGCTGTGCCTGGCACGGTGGCTCACACCTGTAATCCCAGCACTTTGGGAGGCCGAGGCGGGCGGATCACCAGGTCAGGAGATCGAAACCACGGTGAAACCCCGTCTCTACTAAAAAAAAAATACAAAAAATTAGCCGGGCGCGGTTGTGGGCGCCTGTAGTCCCAGCTACTCGGGAGGCTGAGGCAGGAGAATGGCGGGAACCCGGGAGGCGGAGCTTGCAGTGAGCCGAGATCGCGCCACTGCACTCCAGCCGGGGCAACACAGCGAGACTCTGTCTCAAAAAAAAAAAAAATTAGCCGGCTGTGGTGGTGGGCACCTGTAGTCCCAGCTACTCGGGAGGCTGAGGCAGGAGAATTGCTTGAACTCAGGAAGCAGAGGTTGCAGTGAGCCGAGATTGTGCCACTGCACTTCAGCCTGAGTGACAGAGCAAGACTCAGTCTCAATAAAATAAAATAAAATAAAATATTAAAAAGAAAACTGCAGCTTCCTAGTCCCAGCCCCTGACCTAGTGCCTGGGGTCCCTGAGGCAGGTCCAGGAATCTGTACAGGGTCTGCGGGTTCCTCCAGGTGGCATCCCTCCTGTCTCTAGGCTCTAAGATGGTCTCGTAGCTGTGGCAGTGGCCCCTTTGTGCTCCATGCACCCCCAGTACCATATTCACCCTCTCTCAGCTTCCATGCTTTTGTGACTGTGTCTCCTTCACAGCCATAGCCTCTCTTTGAGAGCCTAAGTTAGACCTTACTATGGTGATTTCTTAATTTTATTTATTTATTTATTTATTTACTTATTTATTTTTTTTGGAGACGGAGTCTCGCTCTGTCGCCCAGGCTGGAGTGCAGTGGCACAATCTCGACTAACCGCAACCTCTGCCTCCTGGGTTCAAGCAATTCTTCTGCCTCAGCCTCCCCAGTAGCTGGGATTATAGGCATGTGCCACCATGCCTATCTAATTTCTGTATCTTTAGTAGAGACGGGGTTTTTCCAGGCTGGTCTCAAACTCCTGACCTCAGGTGATCCACCCACCTCAGCCTCCCAAAGTGCTAGGATCACAGATATGAGTCACTGTGCAGCACCCAGATAATTCGTTTCTTAAAGCCCAATAAAACTTGTTGATATGACCTACAGGAATTTCCTAGAATCCGTCATGTGAGATTTCGGCTTAGTGTGCTTGCTTCTCTCACATACCAATCTCAACCTTTTAAAAAAAAAAAATTCAACTTTGATTTTAGATTCAGGGGGTACATGTGCAGGTTTGTTTATGTGGGTACATTGCATGACGCTAAGATTTGAGGTCCAGATGATCCCGTCACCTAGGTAGTGCACGTAATACCCAATGGGGAGTCTCTCAGCCCTCGGCCCCTCCCTCTGGTAGTCCCCAGTGTCTGTTGTTCCATCTTTAAATCCCAACCTTCTTTTTGAGTGTGAGCCTCCTGTTCAGCCACTGGCTCGAGGGGTGACCTTTGCTGGTGTAGGGTACTGAGCTGGGTGTGCTCTGAGGTCTCCGCCCTGCCACTACCTTACGTGACCTCAGGCAAGACCACAACCAGAATCTTAAAGACCATAATCGGTAGCTCTTGAAAGCCAAGTTAAACACTGGAATATCCAGTGACGTTTGTTAAAAATAGATTGCTGGGCCTGGCACGTTGGCTCACGCCTATAATCCCAGCACTCTGGGAGGCCGAGGCGGGCGGATCATGAGGTCAGGAGATCGAGCCCATCCTGGCTAACATGGTGAAGCCCCGTCTCTACTAAAAATACAAAAAATTAGCTGGGAGTGGTGGCAGGCACCTGGTGTCCCAGCTACTCGGGAGGCTGAGGCAGGAGAATGGTGTGAACCCGGGAGGCAGAGCTTGCAGTGAGCCGAGATCTCGCCACTGCACTCCAGCCTGGGCAACAGAGCCAGACTCTGTCTCAAATAAATAAATAAATAAATAAATAAATAAATTCCTGATTCCTACCCCAGACCCACTGAGTTGGTCTTAGGAGAAGTGAGTTAAGATTATCAAAAGCTCTCCAGGTGATTCTGAGGCTCTGGCAAGTATGTAAAATACTGCACTGTCCAAGCTCATCCAAATAGTCTGTTGCATACACGCAGAGTCCATGTTTATATTCTTTATCTGACATTCTGCCACACACATCAGGGTGAGTACCAGTCATGGAGGTAGGAGCGGCAGTGCTTTGATGAGGCTGAACTCCCTGCTCTATATTGTACCTGTGAAATCTCAGCTAGAAGGCAGGTCTAATGTTAGCCCAGTTCTAACGCCAGCATATCTTGTTTGGAAATGATTTTCATAACTGCAACAAATGCCTCAGTATCCTGCCAATGGCCTGGGCATCTGCCATTTCTGGGCACACCAGTCCAAGTGGCAACTGCCCACGCTTGCACCTCTGCTGGAGAGGTTTCCTGCTGGAGCCCAGTGTGTCTGCACAAGGCAGGCAGAAGTGCTGGGGATGGAGAATCACAGCCACCCAGGAGCAGCCGGCAGCCAGTGACTGACCTCAGCTCCTGGAGGGGCAAGATGACGCCAAGGTGTGTGCCACACTGTCTCCCTGCATTGCACAACAGGACTGGACCCTGGTAACTGGCTGGGTAGCTCCCCCTGTACTGGATCCTACCCCTCCCTGCCTCACATCTTTGTTGCCCTATAGGTTATTCCCAGGATCACCTCTCAAATAAACTACTGGTACTAGAATCTTTGTCCCAGGCTCTGTTTCTGGGAAAACCCAAATTAATTTTTTTTTTTTAATGGAGTCTCACTGTTGCCCACGCTGGAGTGCAGTGGCTCGATCTCGGCTCACTGCAACCTCTGCCTCCCGGGTTCCAGTGATTCTCCTGCCTCAGCCTCCTGAGCTGCTGGGACTACAGGTGCTCACCACCATGCCTGGCTAGTTTTTTGTATTTTCAGTAGAGATGGGGTTTCACCATGTTGGCCAGGCTGGTCTCAAACTCCTAGCCTCAAGTGATCTGCCCGCCTTGGCCTCCCAAAGTGCTAGGATTACGGGCGTAAGCCACTGCACCTGACCTGAATTAATTTTTTTTTAAAAAATTTACTTTGCTCACAATAATATGAAAACGTTAAGGTATGCGAGTTGGAAGAATAAAAATCTTCCTCCCATAAGCCGGTGGTTTTTGTTTGTTTGTTTGTTTGTTTGTTTGTTTTTGGCTTTTTTCCCTATGTTGGCATCTGTTTGTGTTAGGTTTGCTCAGGTGGATGCTATGATTTTTTGTAGACAGTTTTGTTTCCTGCTGTAACCATTGTCCTCATGCTGCCATGAATCCTTGGTCAGGGTGACTTTTACTGGCTTCATAGTTGGGTGGTTCTGGCTTGGCCATGACCAATCGATGCTGTTTCTGTCTCTCGTCCTTGCAGGTATTCGTCCCTACAAATGCAACGTCTGCAATAAAGCCTTCACCCAGCGCTGCTCTCTGGAGTCCCACCTGAAGAAGATCCACGGGGTGCAGCAGCAGTACGCCTATAAGCAGCGGCGGGACAAGCTCTACGTCTGCGAGGATTGCGGCTACACGGGCCCCACCCAGGAGGACCTGTACCTTCACGTGAACAGTGCTCACCCGGGCAGCTCGTTTCTCAAAAAGACATCGAAAAAACTGGCAGCCCTTTTGCAGGGCAAGCTGACGTCCGCACACCAGGAGAATACCAGCCTGAGTGAGGAGGAGGAGAGGAAGTGAGGAGAAGGAAGGGGAGGACAGACGTTCACACTGCCACGTATGTCTACGTGGATTTTTGGTTTTCAGCGTCCCCTACCCTGCTGGCTCTTCTTAATTAGAAGTGACCAGTTCACCTCTGTGTCCTTTTGAAACATCAGCAGTAGGGTCCGTTCCAAGGTTGTCAGTTACCGTAGTGACATCAGGCCCTGTAACCTGTGTCCTTTCTGGCGCAGTTGCTCGCATTCACCAAAGTTTGTTTCCAATGATCCTGATGGCCAAGAACACCGTGTGGGATTTTTTTTTTTTTCCCCCAAGGATTTTCACACATGGAAGGAGAGGTATTTCTTAGAGAGATCATCATTTTATGGTGCCTTGAAATAAAAATACTTCTACTTGAAATGCTGTTTAAGCAAGGAAAATGAATTTTGTTATTCTGAAAGAGTTTACAGAAACTATTTTAATAAATGAAATGTTCTTGTGAAGCTTTTAAAAGCAAAATGGAACATAGACCTTCAGCTCTTTGTTCAGGGCTTATTGTGTGATGTTTAATTTCATGTTATTGGGGTGGGGAGGTTGATTACTTTGTATTAGTTGTGTGGGTTTGAAGAAGCAGAACTTCCTCTCTTTTTTTTTTTTGTTCTTGAGACAAGTTCTCACTCTGTCGCCCAGGCTGGAGTGCAGTGGAACGATCATGGCTCACTGCAGCCTTGACCTCCCAGGCTCAGGTAATCCTCCCACTTCAGCCTCCCAAGTAGCTGGGACTACAGGTGCATGCCACTATGCCCAGCTAATTTTTGTATTTTTTGTAGAGATGGAGTTTTGCTATGTAGTCCAGGCTGAGAAGCAAATCTTGAGTGTTGGGTGGAAGAACAAATGGCCAATTGGAAAAACGTGCACTGAGGGGCTGGCTCACGCAGGCTGGTGGGCAGAGATGCCTGGGGGTGGCATGGCAGGGAACTCAACTCTTGGGTCTCTTTTTATGGGCCTGGTCTCTTTTTCTGCAGAGGTCTTGACTTTCTGCGGTTAGGATGCGCTGGCTGAAGGCTCTTCTCCCTCCCTTGAATGGGCTTTGGGGCCAACCCTGGAGAATGAGGAATGCTGGCTCCTCACTTACAGGCGGGATAACAATGCCAGGAGTTCCCTCAGGGTGCGTGACAGCCGAGTGCACTGACCTCTGCTACCACCATCTCCTCACCTTGAAGGCCTGCGTCAGAGCCATGGGAGGCAAGACCCTGATAGGGTAAAATGTGCGCAGCTGGCCATGCGGGGCGGGGGAGGAGGTTTCCTCATCCTGTCTGCCTGGGGGGTATTTGCCTCAGGCTGGGAGCTGCTGCCTGAATTGAGTAGGAAGTTCAGATCACCTATACCCCAATCACCTACACCCCAGTCACCAACACCTTGATCATCTACATCCCTATCACAGATACTCCAATCACCTACACCCCATCACCTACACCCTGATCACCTACACCATGGTCACCAACACCCCATCACGTACACCTCAATCACCTTGACCCCGATCACCTACACCCCATCACCTATACCCTGGTCACCTACACCCTGATGACCTACACCCCAATCACTTACACCACATCACCTACACCCTGATCACCTACACCTCTATCACCTTGACCCCAATCACCTACATCCCATCACCTACACCCCGATCACCTATAACCCATCACCTACACCACGATCATCTACACTCCATCACCTACACCCTGATCACCTATACCCCAATCACTTATACCCTAGTCACCTACACCCCGATGACCTACACCCCATCACCTATACCCTATCACACCCTGATCACCTACACCCCAATGACCTGCACCCCATCACCTATACCCTATCACACCCTGATCACCTATACCCCAATCACTTATACCCTAGTCACCTACACCCCGATGACCTACACCCTATCACCTATACCCTATCACACCCTGATCACCTACACCCCGATGACCTACACCCCATCACCTATACCCTATCACACCCTGATCACCTATACCCCATCACCTACACCTCTATCACCTTGACCCCAATCACCTACATCCCATCACCTACACTCCGATCACCTATACCCCATCACCTACACCTCATCACCTACACCCCATCACTTACACCCCATCACCTATACCCCATCACACCCTGATCACCTACACCCTGATCACCAATACCCCATCACCTACACCTTGATCACCTTGACCCCCATCACCTATACCCCATCACCTACACCTCAATCATCTACACCCATCACCTATACCCTCATCACCTACATCCCATCACCTACACCCCAGTCACCAACACCCCATCACCTACATCCTGATCACCTACATCCTGATCACCTATATCCCATCACCTACACCTTGATCATCTACACTCCATCACCTACACCCCAATCACCTATACCCTGGTCACCTACACTCTGATGACCTATACCCCAATCACTTACACCCCATCACCTACACCCTGATCACCAACACCCCATCACCTACACCTCTATCACCTTGACCCCAATCACCTACACCCTGATGACCTACACCCAAATCACCTACACCCCATCACCTACACCCTGATCACCTACACCCCATCACCTACACCTCATAACCTACAACCCATCACCTACACCCCATCACCTATACCCCATCACACCCTGATCACCTACACCCTGATCACCAACAACCCATCAGCTACACCTCGATCACCTTGACCCCCATCACCTATACCCCATCACCTATACCCTCATCACCTACACCCCATCACCTACACCCCATCATCTACACCCTGATCATCTACACCCTGGTCACCTACACCCCACCACCTATACCCCATCACTTACACCCTGATCACCTACACCCCAATCACCAACACCCCGTCACCTACACCTTGATCACCTTGACCCCATCACCTACACCCCATCACCTACTCCTTGATCATCTATACCCCATTACCTATACCCCAGTCTTCTACACCCCATCACCTACATCCTGATCACCTATATCCCGATCACCTACACCCCATCACCTACACCCCATTGTCTTTTTTTGCCCACTCCCTGTCCCCTGGGCACCACCTGGGCCACTTCTTGGTCTAGGGAAACACCCAGATGAGGAGGCCCTTGTCTTATTTTCTCTCTCCCCGCTTCCTCCTCTCTTCCCTTTCCCCTCCCTCCTTTCCTTCCACCTTCTCTCCTCTCCCACACTGTGCGCCAGGCGTTATGCCAAGATCTGGACATTTTAAGTGACATATCCTATAGCTTGAGTCAACATTTCTCTTTCAATTCAGTGCTTTTGTTTCAGAAGGAAAGGAAACAAACGCTTTTTGGGCAGTGAGCTAGGTAGCCCTCACTGGGCAGATGTTTTCTGGAAGAATCCTCAGAGCGCCCCTGGGGTCACATCCCTGTTTCCATGAGTAGATGAGGCAACTGCAGAGGCTGTCCTCTGGCGGTCAGAGGCAGAGGCCAGGAATCCTAAGTCTAGTCAGAACACCTCTGTTTTCCCCCTCTCTCCTCACCCTCCCTTCAAAAAAGAAAGCAAAGGCCTCAGGCTGGACTGGGACCATGCAGAGGCACGTATGAGACCAGGGCTGACTAGGGGGTCCTCACCCCTCCAGTGTTTGAACTGGCAAGTTTCAGGGACCATGGGGCCCTGCCCTGCCTCATCTGACGTTCCGGGTTTCTGGGCTGAGGCTGTGGCACAAAACAGTCTAAATGGCCCCATTCAGGCATCAGCAGCAGCAGCAAGGGTTGAAGCTGGCACTCAAGTGTCACAGGTGCAGCATCCCAGGACAGCCAGCGCTGAGGCTCAACCCTGACTCCAGAGGGCAGAGTACTAACATTGTGTTCTCTCTTAGTACCTGCTGCCTAGGAAGGCACCGCTGGAAGGCGGTTGATTTGCTTTCTCCTTGGTTATCTGGGTCATGTAGACACCAAAGTGAGCATTCTTAGAAAGGAATATCCAAATGACAGGCTGGGGCAGCTGGCCTGTGCCTGTTTTGCACAGGGAATTGTGAACCAGCTAACATTCTCTTTAGGGTCAGGTTTTTATTAAACAGACCTCTTGGTTGCAAGGGACAGAAATCCAGTGTAAAACAAATTTAGCAGAAAAGGGAATGTAGTAGCTGAAAAGCCTAGGGTTGTTCCAGTTTCAGGGGTGGCCAGATCTGGTGCTTATGTGATGTCATCTTCTCCTACCTCCCTCTCCATCTTTTAGCTCAATTTCCCCCATAGTGACTTCTTTCTCAGGCAGGCGCAAATGGAGGCTGGATGGCCACCCACAGCTCTGGACTTCTGCCTCACAGTGCAGTCACTCAGTAGGAGGGTTTCTCTTTCAGGCTAAGATCTTGGGCAGATTTGGCTCTGGGACCCACCCTCAACTAATTACTGTGCCCTGGGAAATGTGCGGCTCTCTTATCCCAGGCCTAAGCCCCTCCCTCCCCTGAACTGAGTGGAGAGAGCCCAGGTCAGCTACACCCCTGGTCTGGGAGCAGTGGGAAAGGGATTCTCCAGCAGAAAATCAGGACGCCATGGCCAGAAGAGGAAGTGGATGTTGGGTGGCTATGCTAGTTAAGATAAGGCATGGCTAGGCCGGGCGCGGTGGCTCACGCCTGTAATCCCAGCACTTTGGGAGGCCGAGGCGGGCGGATCACGAGGTCGGGAGATCGAGACCATCCTGGCTAACACAGTGAAACCTGGTCTCTACTAAAAATACAAAAAATTAGCCGGGCGAGGTGGCGGGCGCCTGTAGTCCCAGCTACTTGGAGGCTGAGGCAGGAGAATGGCGTGAACCCGGGAGGTGGAGCTTGCAGTGAGCCGAGATTGCACCACTGCACTCCAGCCTGGGCAACAAAGCGAGACTCCGTCTCAAAAAAAAAAAAAAAAAGATAAGGCATGGCTGGGCTGGGTGCAGTGGCTCACACCTGTAATCCCAGCACTTTGGGAGGCCAAGGCAGGAGGATCAGTTGAGGTCAGGAGTTTGAAACCAGGCTGACCAACATGGTGAAACCCCATCTCTACTAAAACTACAAAAATCGGCTGGGCGTGGTGGTGGCATGTGCCTGTAGTCCCAGCTACTCAGGAGGCTGAGGCACGAGAATCGCTTGAACCCGGGAGGCAGAGGTTGCAGTGAGCTGAGATGGTGCCACTGCACTCCAGCCTGGCGACAGAGCAAGACTCCATCTCTAAAACAAAACAAAACAAAAAACCAGATCAGGCATGGCTGCTGTAACAAAGATTCCCAACACACCTATGGCTTAAAGAAGAGAGAGTGTTGTTTCTCACGTAGTTGTTCTGGGTTGGGAGGTCTCCATGCCATCATTTGAGGGCCCAGAGTTTTTCCTTGGGATTATCTGCCATGCCCTAAGATAATGCCGTCATATGCGTGGTAGAAGCTGGGTTTCTGTGGGTCTCAGCTGATAGGAGAGTTGTCTTGAAGAAGCAAATCTTGAGTGTTGGGTGGAAGAACAAACAACGGATTGGAAAACCTGCACTGAGGGTCTCATGCAG